TGAACTAGGTCTACCTCTACGCCTTTTTTACTCCTGTTTCTGCCTCTAATATGTCTCTATAATAATGTGTTCAGAAAAATTATGATTGTGTTGACGGTCCAGTTCGAAGGAGTAAAATATAGAAGGTGCATTTTGCTTTCAGAAAATTTGTTTTTGCCAAAGCCTACTGCCCCCACTAGCCGCCCCCGGAGTTCCTGCTTTCGCCGCAAAAACATCAACCTAACCAGCGACATCGTAGGATGGTAGAAACTGTCCCTCCTTTCAAAAATAACGATAATTCTGATGTAAAAGACGAGCGAGTCGTAAACGGTTGTGGACCGACTAGCGTCGAGCTTCCCAAATTTAAGACCGTCGATCTCGGTAAGGATCCTGAGAAAGGCGGATTTGGATCGTCCCCATTACCATATTCTGGCAACGAGAAGGCAGACTTCGAGGGTGCCATCGAACAGACCGGATATGGAAAGTTCCACTACCTCCTGCTAGCAATATGCGGCTTCGTCAGCACGGCGGAGGAGATGGACGTCATCTCGATGTCCTTCATCCTACCGTCCGCGCAGTGCGACCTGGATCTCAACACTCAGGCCAAAGGATGGCTCAACTCCATCATCTTCATCGGGATGATGGCAGGAGCCTATGCCTGGGGATCAGTGGCAGATTCTCTGGGTCGCAAGAAACTCCTTATAGTCATCTCATTCACGAACGCTCTGTGCATTGTTGCGTCAAGTTTCAGCCAGAGCTATGAGGTGTTTATGGTTTTCAGATTTTTAAACGGGGCGGCGTAAGTAAATTCACTCATTTATATCTCCTCATAATTCTACTTGTCCACTTTTCTATTTCGGCGGATCATATCAATATTTCGAATCAGATCATTTCATTGCTTTGCGATTAAGGATCATTTGTTCAACTCTCGTGGGAAAAGAGATTGATTTTGTTGTTTACAGATTAGGGGGCAGTGGACCAGTGATTTGGTCCTATTTTGCAGAATTTCAACCGAAGTCAAAACGAGGTGCCATGCTTTCATTCATGGCCGCTTTTTGGACCCTCGGTAATCTCTTCGTAGCAGGGTTAGCTTGGGTTATAATTCCTTCAGAAATGGGGATAGATACCCCATACTTTAAGTACAATTCTTGGAGAATTTTCTTGTTCATTTGTTCTCTTCCGTCATTTATCGTGGCTGCTTTGCTGCTATTTCTACCGGAAAGTCCTAAATTTTTACTTTCACGGGGAAGAACCGATGAAGCGCTTAGTATATTCCGTAGAATTTATAAAATGAACACCGGAAATCCCAAAGAAAGTTATCCAGTTAAACACTTAATTTTGGACGAAATGGATAACCAAGAGGTGTACGTTAAGCCAACTTCGTTTTTGCAAAAATATGAAGGGATGGTTTCTGACATTTTGGACAACAGCAAGCAGCTTTTCGTTTCCCCAATTCTAAAATTAACCTTTATATCCATCACTATAAACTTCACATTCCACATTGGGTAAGAATCTACGAAATAACAGACTTCATCAATACATGTTTATGCCTATTTTCTTGCAGTTATTACGGGCTGATGATGTGGTTCCCAGAACTTTTTACTAGGTTTGATGAATATTCCAGAGCTCATCCGGGAGTTGAAGCGAGCGTTTGTATTGTCACTGACTTTGTAGTCAATAACGGTAGCCATCAAGATGCTACTTGTTCAAGTACCATCGAAAGTAACGTTTTCATGGAATCTTTGGTCACTGTAGCATCTGCTTTACCAAGCAACATCATTGCTGTTCTGTTGATGGATCGTCTTGGTAGAAAGTTCTTCTTGGGTAAAGAATTTTCCATTTTTGCGCTAGCTCGTGTAATTAATTTCATTTTATCGTTTATGTTTTCTGTTTTAGTTTTCAGTACAGTAACATCTGGTATATGTTCGGCTTGTATGTATTTAGTCTATAATAATGTTCAAAACTTAGCGGTATCGGCAGTATTTAGTGGTGTTATCTCATGCGGTAATGCCGCGTTAGATTGCTTAATAACAGAAATTTTTCCAACCAACCTCAGGTAAATTTTCACGAATTCCGATCAGATACAACGCCAAGATACCATTAAGAGCCTTGGCGTGTATTTAAGTGATCTTATATTAATAATAGCGACAAATAAATATAATTTAATTAATTTTAGGGCAACTGGTATAGCAATATCTATGGTAGCGGCGCGTTTGGGAGGTATAATTGGTAATATAGTTATTGCCCAATTGTTAGATATGTATTGTCCAGCACCTACGTTTATAGTGGCCACCCTTCTTATAGGGGGTGGTTTGCTATGTCTATTTTTACCAAACACAACTCGTGAACCTTTGAACTAAAAACTTATTGATGGATCCATTACCCTATAGTTACCATTATTAGCACACGAAAGAGAGGAATTTATTTAGAATTATCTAACCACCTTACATTTAGAGTTTTGTAGATAGTTTTTAATGTGTTATATATTCGTAAGTTCAAATAAATACATGCTATTTGCAAAAAGTTAAAACTTATTGTTTTATTGTGAATTTCAGAAAAACTAGAAGACCCTACCCGTCGTTATGGTTTTCCTGCAAAATGCCGGAAAACCTCTTTTGACAATAACCCTGACCCTGACCTTTTATCCTAATTTTAGTTTCATTCAATCGGGAAATAAAACTCGCTTTTAACGTACATACGTATTTTAAAATTGTCCTATTCAAAATTAATTTCCTAATAATACGCTACAAAAATTAGGACCACCTTTTTGACCTCTCATTGTCCTCGTGTTAACAATTTCTGTGGGTCAAAATGATCTACATATTACCATGACACGCCCGTTGTTATAACAAGACGTAAACAATAAATTATTGAGTAAATATTTTCACCTACTGCAAATGATCATAACAAGATAGTAATTCATTTATATTTAAATTTAGATAGAAATAAAAACATAATCTATTATTATCCTTTCCTTAGAAATATTTGACCTGAATATTGGTTTCCAACATCGTCTTGTTGGCAGTGGGAATGCTAATAATACTAGTGCATTGCAAACGGTCATCTTAATTTTGGTTCTTTTTCCCAGAAAAAGCGCGTAAACCAAGCACGAATTTAATTTTAATTTTACTACTTACACGAAATTGTAGTTAAGTTATCCCCAAGGACAACTGTATGTACTATATATGATACAAACAGATAGGTACTTATTAAGTTTTGCAAGTGGTTAAAAATCAAGGAGTAATTTTAATTTAATATCAATTACATTTTATTAGTTCTGTCTATTACGTATATTTAGGGTCCTAAAGGAGTAATTTTATCGTACAATTTATTATTTTATCGGCAAATATAGTGTTTATTGCATAATTTTGATTGGACCATCTCATTTTAACTTCAAGAAAATATTGAATTAAGTTATTGCTTCAAGCAATTTTTTAAACAATATCTACCGCATAGGATTATTGTATAAATTCGACGCTTAAACCTAATTGTAAATATTTCAGTTATAACTAGGGCTATTGTGCAGAGTGTCGTCTTTATGGGGCCATAATCAATTTTAAAATTTTAAGTAGGGGCCTGGAATTATTACTTTTTTAAAAAAAAAAGAATTTAGTAACGTCGAGAATTAGTCAGGTGCCTTATGGTGTCGGTATACGAAATTATTTTCAAAAAAAAAAAATATTTCCAGGCCAGTACTTAATAATTAATTTGATCATGGTCCCGCAAAAGAGAAACATTAGATGACAAACAAAAAACTGCAATTAAAATGTAATCTAACTTTAACTTTCAATAAGTCTAATTATAACTGTAGCATTTCGAGTTAAATGAAATCTAAAATTTTGATTTTTTTCAAATATTTCCCAAGCCAAAAATAATATTCTACATTTCTAGGTACCTCACTTTATTAACTATAACTATGTCCCCAGTTAATCACCTTCGTATCTTATTACAGTTTAGGAGATTGCCCTGATGAGCGTCGAATTTGAACCAATATAAAATACTTGATCTTAATTTATTTATACTTTGAAAAATTTGCAATCAACTTCATTCGTTATATTTTTTTGCTTTTGAAAGTGTCGGAAAATTTGGTTGCGGAAAGCTGCGAAATATACGAGATGAAAAATACGTGTCGTGGTTCCGAATGCATTTGTATTTGTTTAGAAATTGATAGAAATATTCAATGAACTGTATAAACTCCTTTGATTGAATGTGAGTACAGATAAGCGTACACATTTAGAAGCACTTATAAATTCCAATAAATTTAGTGAACCGAACTAATAGAGAAGCTAATTTATTGTGGCCCAGTCTGCTGCTTGAGCAAATGCACACATTCCTTATCTCTTTACTTATTACAGTGTGTCAGATCGAGAAGTCCGTTTTTAAGTGTCCAAGATATTTCGATTAAAAGTTCTGTAGCAACGGAAATAAACAAATAATAATTTTGTCAATGATACAGAATATGAAAAAAATCCTGAAAGATAATTCTAATTTAATGGTATCCGGTAAGAGGGAAAATGTTACCGAATGTAGCAGCAATTTTATGTGGATTTGCGCTATATTGTTTATATTTATTATCGCAATCACGACCTTTGGGTTATTTGTGTTCAGTGTTTTGAAAGTACAAATTTTAACCGAGGAAGTGAATTTGCTTAAAAAAGAGTTAGAACATATAAAGCTTGCCACTGAAGTTATTACCGATCCTTTGTACCAAAGTCTCGATGATATTGAGGTAAGACTTCCTGCTGTATTTCATTTACCATTCATATTTTGTGACAATAATTTATAAAATATGGAACTACCTATACGTATTATCTTATTTTTCTTAATAATTAACTTCAACGTTACAGTATTTAAACATTAGAAAAATTTGTAGCTCTTTTTTAATTGCATATCGTTTTTTTTTTTTTTATTTCCCGGTTAATAATTTGTTATAGTTACAGAGTAATACGTAGA